TACTTTTAAATAGGCTACTCTTTTACTCTTACTCAAGTAGTTTTTTGGACAAGTACTTTTACTCTACTCACACTACAATTTTTGGAAGGTAATGGTACTTTTACTTGAGTATATTTTTTCAGTACTCTTTCCACCACTGGTTAGTACTAACGAACCGCAATGTAACAAGCAATGGCCGGTCCAAAATCTTACCTATAACTGAAATGATTAACAATAAATAATACTCCATTACAACATATTACAGTAGTTATGTTCTATATATTTTAATATTTTTTTTTTATTATTAATAATAATTCATAATATTAATAATATAATAATATTATACCTTATTATTACATATAATAATAATATAATAAAAATAATATATGCAATAAAGTTAATTTCTCAGTAAACTAATTCTCAATTAAGTGTTATTTATTTATTTATTTTCTTCATTTTCTTGCTTTAACTGGTAGTTAACCGTTTCAAGTCGTAAGATTTCGGTATGTAGCTATTCTAATTTGTGTTGGAAGTAAAAATAATAGAGACCACGGAGTGATGCAAGAGATATAAAAGTAGCCCTGGAGAAATGTACCGTTTAGCTGTCATTATAGAAAAAAAATATTTGATCACTGAATGCTGCGACTGACCAATCAGAATCAGAAGCATGGTCATTAGACACATAATTAATGAGGGATTATGTCTCGTTTAAGCGTTGTGATCATAGAAGCTTGAACATCAGCTCATGCTTAGTTTTGGCTGAGTTATGGATCTATGATGGCCCATGATGACTTTCGCAGCTGTATATATGTCTGGCAGGCTCTGACCAGCAGTAGAAAGCCATTACTGTCCAGAGAGCGGTAGCCTCCACCCAGCTTAAGAGCTTCTCTCCAATACATGCTGCCAAAGACATTTCAGCTCGCTGCAGTTTATCATATGCTCAAACAAACACACGCACATGTATACACATGCACACCCTTGTAAATATGCACTCATAACTAATAAAAAACACTATTGAGACTTATTTATTCTCCTCATCACAAACACTCAGGCAAACACACTCTCACTTATAAACATTCTACACAAGCATACAAACTCATGCGGTCCTGTTGTACATAATATGTTCTTGCATTAGTGTGGCGGTACTTCAGTACTATAAAGTTACCATCAAATAACTAAAATCACACAAATCACTCAAATTTATTGTTACGAGGGTGAGTAAATGACAGAATTTTCATCTTTTGGTGAACGTTCTCTTTACATAAAAAGAAAAAAGACTTTTGATATGACATGGCTTCGTAAAAATGTGGTGCTCATGGCGTAAGGTGCTGAAAAACCAATGAAGCACATCAAAGATCATCCATATAGCAGATGATTATATACAAAACGAAGTGCCTTTGAACTGTGCAAACGGCACCTTAAGTGGTGTTTTCCTGCATTGCTGTTCACTGTGAACACACCCTGTGCAGTGTGCTCATACCTCAATGAGTCAGACATGCACTGTAGATGTCTTGTACAAAGTTCCTATCAATCTTTCACATGATTCATGTATAAGACATGAGCATTGAGACCGTGCTATTCTTACCCTGTTCTTTGTCCTTCTGCACTCTCTCTGCTACAACACAAACATATCATTAATACATAATTATGAACCGCATGTATTCTTATTTTCCAAGAGTGTCCTGGTCAGAGAAGGCTGTCTGTTCTGCCTGGAGCATAAAGCAAGAGTTCTTCCACAGAAAATCAAACGTCTCCCCATGTATTATTGAACTTTTGTTGTCCCATAGCAAAATAGAGGAAAGAAACACAGGGAAGTTTCCGTTCATTATTTTGTTAGAAATAAAAGCATCCATTTCTTTGAGCTACCCCTACACTGACATTCCTTTTACACTGTAAAGGTAAAATATCGACTCTGGCTGGACAGGAACCATTGTTTATACAGCACTGGCTGATATCATGACTAAATGCATTAACTACATGACACTTTCTCAGCACTAAGACTCACAGTAGGCCTTTAAGGAAAATGCTTTCATGGATAGCAAGGCATGACTGTTATGATACACGTGTTGAAATATGTATTTTAACTGGCTGGTTTTGATACACTGTTGATTTAGCACTATATCAAAGCCATTTTTTCACACAGAAAGTGGCTAATGTCTCGCATGCAAAAAATGTTGAACTTTTAAAAGGAATGTTGTGGGTTCGATAAAAGTTGAGCTTTATCAAAATCTGCAGCATGATGTCAATTACCACACTGTTTCTTAGTTTGTAAAAATGCATGTGCTGTAATGCACTTATAATGGAAGTCTATGGGGCAAGAAATTGAAGCTAAATGAAGCTTGCATTTTTAAGCGGTTATGTAAATTCTTTTCATACAACATGTGCATTATTTGAGGTTTTACAAAGTGACCTTTTTTACAGCTACTTTACAAGTCAAATGAGCTTACCAACGTAATTCTTGTGATTTGCCACTTGTCTCTTTACATGATCATGACAGGAGTTAAAAATGAGGGAAAAAAATAGTATAACTCTGAGCATGTAGGCTTAATAGTCTTATATCGTCTGTTAATAAGATTCTGTTAACTCGCATGATTGTATATTTGCAACAGTGTGAATTTGAACGTTTATCCAGGTGTAATGGCTTGCCTCATAGACGTACATTGTAAGAGAATTATTGTAAATGCTATATATATCCTCCAAGTAAAAATATCTAATAATACTTAAAACAATACTTCATAGTTTTCATAAATTGTATCTTCAATATACTTTTATTTTGTCTTACTCCACGCACAGAATATTTCCCTTGTTTTAACTTGTACTTAAAGTAAAAGACAAAATCTTGTACTAAAATACATTCTTTGAAAACTTATCTTAATATCTTACGTATCTTTGCCTCTCAAGAGGTATCTAACATTAAAATATATTTACATTTAAATAATTTAACTGATAAATAAGGCATACATACTTGTTATTAATGGGATTTTTAAGTGTCTTACTCCTTTATGTAATCCACCTCTACCCTCAAAGTGCATATATTATATGCTCTCCATGTACTTTAAAAGTTGAAGTCTCCCCAGTACAACTCTTTTGTCCTTAACAGTTCCTTCACCTTATCTTTGCAGGTGGGCTGGTCTGGGTGTCTCCTCAGCAGTCATGGGGAGGTCAGGAGCGCTCTGGGTTTGGTTGCTTGGGACAAGCATGCAGTTGTTACTTCCCCTCGTCCTCTGTGTCACCTGCATCCATGGTCTTTTTCCACCACAGCCACGGGTCTTCCTGTCATTTCAAGGTAAGAATGGTTCATGTCAGACTCCAATCAGCACATTTCCTTTTAGATGGGGTCCTCTTCAAGTGAGGTCATCAGAGTGCTCTAAACCAGACTGAGGGGTCTATTTGTCCTTCATTATGTCCCTGTGCCACAGTCATGAGCTCTGAATGGGCAACTTTGGCTTTGACAATGTGTTCAAAATTGCTAAAATACTAAGGATTGGCTGAAGCTTTTATTAACAAAGATATGCGTTTTATTGGTCTTTTGTTCATTGATTAGCAGAGAAATCTTCACATTCATTAACATCACTTTGTTGAACAATGTGGACATTTTCTGAAAGATTTGTATTTTTGGATTAGTTCATAAATGGCAAAGTTACTTATAATTTGGGACACAGTCAAACCCTTTAATCTGATTAAACTAAAGTCAGATCAAGGAAATAGTGAATACTTTTTGGGTACACACTGGACTGTTATTAAAAATATGACATTAGACTACTAGTTGAATTACATTTTTCAGATAAATTGTTGAAAATATTTTTCCTGATCACCAGACTTGCACAATACCGATTTAGCAGGTTTAATTGCAGTTTCATTTCAATGTGTCACTATTGCAGTCAGTTTAATGGTCTGCAGTGATAAACTTGCTTTAATCTGAAGTGCTAAATATCACAGTGACATTTAATACATGTTTTTGTTGTTGTTAATATATTCACAGTATGACATAAAGCTTAGATTATGTGCTTGAAACATTATCTTTGGATGCTAACTCAAGAATAATGTTTCCATGACTTTGATCATTCTAATGGAAATGGCTGAGCTGGTCTCATATCGGATGTCAGATCTTTCCTCTTATCTGCTGCAGCAAACATTTAATATAGTTGAGTAAGGGAATAGGCGGTGTGTCAGTGCATACGGCATCTAGATGGTCAGGTGTAGGATACCAGTTGCTCTGCTTTCTGGGAAAACATTTACTTAAAGATGACTTTCTGATCTGAACAGATCTGACTATTTTGTTGGTGTAAAACGGCCAAATAGTAAGTAATCTTTTAAATATCCAACTTAAAGGGATAGTTCACCCAAAAATGAAAATTCTGTCATTAATTACTCACCCTCATGTCGTTCTAAACTTGTAAGACCTTCGTTCATCTTCAGAACACAAATTAAGATATTTTTGATGAAATCCGAGAGCTTTCTGACCCTCCATAGACAGCAATGCAACTGACATGTTCAAGGACATCATTAAAATAGTCCATGTGACATCAGTGGTTCAACATTAATTTTAGAAAGCAACGAGAATACTTTTATTACTTTTAGAGTAATTAATGACAGAATTTTCATTTTTGGGTGAACTATCCCTTTGAAACAAAGTTCTTAAAACTTTCATCTTTGTTGGTTTCATACATTTCTGAACACATTTTCTACAAAAAGGTCATGTAGTGTAACTATTAAGTATTAAAATTCCTTTTTGAATACACAATTATTCTTTTTATATATTATTTATATAAGGTAAAAGGTTAAAAATAAAGATAACCCATTTGACCTGATTATTTTAAAATAAAAAATATATAATGTAAAAGATTATGTCCACAGTTCTATTTTCAAAAAATATTGTTTTCTTTCATATATTTTTCACATGTAGTAATTATAATTATACAACCTGGGCATTTTTGACTAAACAACAATGTACCAAAGTTACTTTTAATTTACAAACCAAAAAACATTTTACACCATTCAAGTTGTTGACGTAAACTGCATTTTTAAGTGTTATTTATTTATTTTAATTAAATAGATCTGGACTAAATTTTGAGCATTTTGTCACTGACTCAAATATAAGAGTCCAATTTATGCTTTGTTCCTCAGTGTTTGACATTGTCTGGATTTATCAGTGGTGGACATTTGTTTCTTGTTCTTACAATTATGCACTGTTTTTACAAACTTTCCAGCTTTCTTATTCCTTTCAATCCATGTTTTTGGCCTAATTTGTCATTCCATTCTTTCTCCTTGTCTTTCCAGCACATTCCCTCGTGTAGTCATCCGTCTATGTCTTATGTGCTGAATAGAAGCAGCGGGAAGCTTTGGTAATAGTGTCAGAGCAGATCGTGCCATGGAAAAACTCCGCTCAGACTCAGAGCATTCTGGATTGGATTTGCATCTTTCTGAAGAACGCCACGTAACATGCTCGGTTTGACATTAATAAGAACATCCTAAACAGCTGGCAGTCACTATTCGGCAAACAAATTAAAGCCAGAATAGTTAGAACTAATCAAGCTAGCTTCATCTTAGACTATGTGTCTTCACAGCAGGTGTGTATTTGAGTAATGTCTTTGTGAGGTTGAGATTGTCTCTGGTGAAGTCACTCAGACCCGAGACCTCTGCAAATGATTTTCGTTTGAGAAAAGATTTCGCTAGGTGATATAGCATAAATGCCAAAGACATCCCGAGCATCGAAAAATCAGATGCGTTTGTATTTTGTAGAGTGTTTCACAGTAAATGAACAGTGTAATGTATAGCCTGGGAATGTATCAACAGAAACGATTTACGAGGTCCTGGTTTGTCATCTACATGATTTAGACATCCCTTTAGTCCCTTAGACCATCTGGATCATTTTCATCTTTCTGAGAGTTTTAGAAGAGGACAGATGTACAGGTTAAAAAACGTGAGTATTATAGCGAGCAGGGTCTGAATATGTCAGCTGGATTGGACTAGGAATGCTCCAGATGTTCTGGGGTGTTTGAGGAGCTCCAGTAAAGTCACATCTGAAAGCATCTTAATGCAGAGAGCTGGGAGCTTTGGGTGTCTCTCAGCTTCCATGACTAGAGAAGGAAGGAGGAAGAAAAACAAAAGAAGAATGGAAAAAGAAAAAAACTCAATATTCCAGTTGAAGTTATTCCTTAATGAATAGCAGAATAATTGAACAAATTAAGAAAAGCTAAAGATAAAAATGCTTTCTGATGTCAATTCATAAGCACATTCTACTGAACACTGTGTGCAAATCCCCATTTCATTTGTATGGGATGTTCTGTAAAGCTTGTCTTTGCCAACAACAGTAACCAATGGCAGCAGAACATAGCAAAGGGTCAGTTACTCCATGTGATTTGAACCAAACTAACACCTTGTGAAAAATAAACCTGGGTGATAAAGTCGGCGTCAGAATGTTTAACTGTTTGCCGGTCAGTCTGGCGTGAGCTCTTTTGAAACTCGAGTCTGAGGGTGTCTTTGCATAAGGCAAGACATAGAGCGCTTGTGTCGTGTTGTGAGGGGAGCTGCTGTCTCTGAAATTCTTCCTATCTCTACCTAATAATCTGTTCATCCAATGCAATTGCCTGGCAAAAGAAACTCAATAATAAACCATGATGAAGCTGAACCACGTCCGATGAATAATAATAAACATCTGCAATATACAGCAATAAATAAGGGATAATGCATGATAATAATTATCCTCTGAGTAATCAGGAAATTATCCAACAAACATGTCCCAGTCATTTTAAAATAAAATAAGCAAATAAATAAATTAGGGGGGAGTTCTGTTTGGGAGGAGACAACCAGACATTTGCCAATTTCATGAAGTCAGCCTGATTAATAATGCATTCACTTCAATTAGGACACAATCGCAAACAGTTGGGTGTTAACTTGGCTCAGCCCCTTTGTAAGGATAATGTCTGTTTATCAGTTCTGACCTGAATCCACCCAATCCAAAATTTGGTTTAAACCACATGTGTGAACTTGAGCCAGGTAACACAAGGCAACACCCTTAGCAAATAAAGAAGATCATGCATGCTTTATTTGATACCCATGTTGATCTGTCCATGGGTGGTTTGCTGTGGTTTTCAGTTAACTTTCTGAAAAGTATGGCATTTTAGGAATCCGTCATAAGGTATTCTTTCCAATCATGAGACAAACGCGAATGTTTTCAGCATCAACATTTGCCCTTTAACGCAGCTTTTTCATGTGACTCCCAACACGAGTAGTCTGACCTTCACGTTGTTTTACTAGCCAAGTCAAACTCTGTTTATATCAGCTGACAGTTCTGTTCTTTGTTATTTATAAACCGATATTTAACAGCGTATCAACTGAGGCAAGTAATGCATTTCATAATATAATCCATGCTTTTAAAAAAATAGAGGATGGAGAAGGCAGCTGTTTTGCATGGCATAGCCGGGTGTTTCAATGTCGGGACGGGAAGTCATCCATGACAAATTCATGCCAGTTTGCGTGCATGCACAAATTTACTCTTTCCACAAAAACACGCACCACACATTTTTGTCCTCGGATTGTTTTGGTCATATGCAATTATGCAGTATTAAAACACTTTTATCCTCCAGCAGGCCACAACACAGCATTTAAGAGTGCATGTGTGCCATATACTAGCACTGATGCCATAATTTGAGACCGTTAAGCCTTCAAACATTTATGAAAATACACACGGGAACTTTAAAAAAAGCCTCATCTATGAAGGTCTGATTTTTATCTTAATTATAGTCCTTTTACGGCAGAAAATCAAGACTAACATTTGCTCAAACCCAGTCATGGCTGTATCACTTTGAGGATTAAACAATGTTGACCTCAGCCAACATCACATTCATTGGCTATAAGGTAACGTCTTAGACATAAATCACTTCTGAGTTGTGGCTGAAGCCCAGAAGTGTGATGCTGAACAATCCATTCAAAAGACTAAAACTTTGGTTTGACCATAATGATGATGTTCCTGCCCTGATACATGTGATATCTCACACTAAGTGTACATTTACACGACACAATTGACCCTTCGCAAAGTCTCACACCCCTTGTTGTTATGTCCGACAAGCCAAGGTGCTCTTACAACACACACCATGTTCTCAAGCAGTAAAAAATACATCGTGGAGCAAAGAGGACACTGACAACACGCTGACAGACAAGACAGAGCAGGTTACATTTGGTATGAAACCAAGTCTCTGCTTTCGTATTTGGTCATTTTATAAGAAATTCAAACCATAAATACTGTTTTGTGGCTCTTTAATGTGTCGTGACAGTCGTGACCTC